CGTATGGCATCACTACCGATGATCGATGTCTCATGATCTCATGAAATTGCGGCTTTGGGGTGCCCACGATTTTGCGGGGGTACCTTTGTCCATATGGTTTAAACATACTTTTATTCCGCCAAAGCAGAAACCTGAATAGGCCAACAAGCCTAGCGGCTTATATAAACGCCGCTCCAGTACACGGTTCCAATATAGCTGGATACATAATTGAAATAATCTGACAAGAAAAGAATAATACTGAGACAAAATTACACTCCGAAAAAATGATTGAATAATAAATATTTGGTTATGGCGTTGGTTATGCCTAGCAACGAAATGAGCTGCCGCAGAAAATCAAGTTATATAAATCTTGTCTTGCATTGAATATACATGTATATGCAGAGGTGATGATCACTGGAAGCGATTACTTTTAGAAATGGACTGGTGTAATGAGTTGAGAATGTCACTACATTGTATCTGTTGAGTTTTTCAATGCGCCGTTACCGTATAAGGTAGTTTTCACATCGTATCCTTGAATATAAAAATACACCGTTGTTCTTAAATTTTGATAGTTCCGACATAAAAAAAAGGTAGTGAATGATATCTTCGTTATAATGACCACATGAACACTTAGCTGTTTCTGATATATGTCGATTATATCTGTCTGCGTTAAGATCACGACAGCCGAACTTGAGGCGACAATGGATGATTTGACAAAATGTATGATGTAAGTAATCAGAAACATTCTGACTATCTGCATATGGTTATTTGTTTTTATTGCTTTCATTGAAAAAGCCAAACAAAGGCGATACTTGCCTATGTCCTTCTCCGTGATTTTGCGTCTGGCATGGCGTCACGCTGCACAGAACTTTCGTATGAATATATTAAATTACTGTATTGTATCCGTTTTTAATTTTCTAGTTCTTACTACGATACTCTTTCCGTGCATATTCTAAAACTATTGAGCTCATGCATGCTACGAGTGGACAAACTGATGTCTATAAAATTGAGAAAATGCTGCACAGTATAAAATCTGATTTTTGCTTTGTTTACATTTCTAGCAAGCGCCGTTTTATGAGCACAACGTTCAGTTTTCACAGCCAATATGTTTCGTTTTTGTCTAGACACTTGGTTTTAGTGACACAGACCATTTGTAGGTTGATTCTACAATGTATGAGGAATTAACCGATGCATTTGTCACAACAGAATACAGCTAGGGCCCATGCAGGAAGCAAATGTACTGAAGCAAAAGTCCCCATAGTCCCTAGCATGGTGATCTACCTTCAGTTGTTAGCAGTATGTAGCCTGTTTTTACTTTGTATTGCCATCTATAGTTAAACTGATTTAGAGTTAATTACTAGTTTTAAATTCGAATCTGTGATAATCTAGTTCATTTACTGTCCTTCGTTGACAGGCTTTTACAATTTACCATTAATTAATATGTGTAAAATTAATTGTTCTCGTCACGATATGGCTGAAATATTGCCGATGTGACGATAAATTTTAACTCACTCACTCACACACTCACTCACAACGGAATATGAAATATACGTGTCCTATGACCGGCCTTGGCGAAACTTGAATTTGTAAATACTATCCAATATGGCGGACAGCCTACTTTGGCGATCGTGTTCGTGTAATTTCCAAAACGTCCCAACCGATTCTAGGTTTATCGGCGACGTTTCAGAATTATTGAGATGCGATTCTTAACTGCGGTTGAAATGACTGTTTTTGTTCCGAGGTTTAACCGTAAAGATACCATGTTGACAGATGACCGAGAGTAACGCTTACGTGATTTGTCGGAATTGTGGGAAATATTTAGGGGAATCCCCGAGTTTAATGAAAATATTTACATTAGGACGTCATCAGATAATGATAAGCTAATAAGTGCTTGATACAACCGTTTTAAAAGATGCCATTAACTACTGATGCATTAAGGATTTAATGTGTCATTAGGGTTTAATGTTGACATTAGTTAATGAAGCAATGATACAACCGTTTTTAATGATGCCATTAACTAATTTAATGCATCATTAGGGTTTAATGTTGACATTAGTTAATGAAGCAATGATACAACCGTTTTTAATGATGCCATTAACTACTGATGCATTAAGGATTTAATGTGTCATTAGGGTTTAATGTTGACATTACTTGATGAAGCAATGATACAACCGTTTTTAATGATGCCATTAACTAATGATGCATTAAAGAGTTTAATGTGTCATTAGGGTTTAATGTTGACATTAGTTAATTAATGAAGCAATGATACAACCGTTTTTAATGATGCCATTAACTACTGATGCATTAAGGATTTAATGTGTCATTAGGGTTTAATGTTGACATTACTTGATGAAGCAATGATACAACCGTTTTTAATGATGCCATTAACTACTGATGCATTAAGGATTTAATGTGTCATTAGGGTTTAATGTTGACATTACTTGATGAAGCAATGATACAACCGTTTTTAATGATGCCATTAACTAATGATGCATTAAGGATTTAATGTGTCATTAGGGTTTAATGTTGACATTAGTTAATGAAGCAATGATAGAACCGTTTTTAATGATGCCATTAACTAATTTAATGCATCATTAGGGTTTAATGTTGACATTAGTTAATGAAGCAATGATACAACCGTTTTTAATGATGCCATTAACTAATGATGCATCATTAGGGGTTTAATGTTTAGTTAATGCAATGATCACCGTTTTTATGATGCCATTAACTACTGATGCATTAAGGATTTAATGTGTCATTACGGTTTAATGTTGACAGCTTGATGAAGCAATGATACAACCGTTTTTAATGATTTTAATGATGCCATTAACTGACATTAGTTGATGAAGCATACAAGGATTTAATGTGTCATTAGGATTTAATTTAATGTTGACATTAGTTAATGAAGCAATGATAGAACCGTTTTTAATGATGCCATTAACTAATTTAATGCATCATTAGGGTTTAATGTTGACATTAGTTAATGAAGCAATGATACAACCGTTTTTAATGATGCCATTAACTAATTTAATGCATCATTAGGGTTTAATGTTGACATTAGTTAATGAAGCAATGATACAACCGTTTTTAATGATGCCATTAACTACTGATGCATTAAGGATTTAATGTGTCATTAGGGTTTAATGTTGACATTAGTTGATGAAGCAATGATACAACCGTTTTTAATGATGCCATTAACTAATTTAATGCATCATTAGGGTTTAATGTTGACATTAGTTAATGAAGCAATGATACAACCGTTTTTAATGATGCCATTAACTACTGATGCATTAAGGATTTAATGTGTCATTAGGGTGTGACATTAGTTAATGAAGCAATGATACAAGGGTTTAATGCATCATTAGGGTTTAATGTTGACATTAGTTAATGAAGCAATGATACAACCGTTTTTAATGATGCCATTAACTAATTTAATGCATCATTAGGGTTTAATGTTGACATTAGTTAATGAAGCAATGATACAACCGTTTTTAATGATGCCATTAACTACTGATGCATTAAGGATTTAATGTGTCATTAGGGTTTAATGTTGACATTAGTTGATGAAGCAATGATACAACCGTTTTTAATGATGCCATTAACTAATTTAATGCATCATGACATTAGTTAATGAAGCAATGGTTTTAATGAATAACTACTGATGCATGATTAGGGTTTAATGTTGATACATAGTTAATGAAGCAATGATACAGTTTTTTAATGAAGCAATGATACAACCGTTTTAATGAAGCAATGCCAACCGTTTTTAACTACTGATGCCATTAACTAATTTAATGTGTCATTAGGGTTTAATGTTGACATTAGTTAATGAAGCAATGATACAACCGTTTTTAATGATGCCATTAACTACTGATGCATTAAGGATTTAATGTGTCATTAGGGTTTAATGTTGACATTAGTTAATGAAGCAATGATACAACCGTTTTTAATGATGCCATTAACTAATTTAATGCATCATTAGGGTTTAATGTTGACATTAGTTAATGAAGCAATGATACAACCGTTTTTAATGATGCCATTAACTAATTTAATGCATCATTAGGGTTTAATGTTGACATTAGTTAATGAAGCAATGATACAAACTGTTTTAATGATGCCATTAACTACTGATGCATTAAGATTTAATGTGTCATTAGGGTTTAATGTTGACATTAGATTAATGAAGCAATGATAGAACCATTTTTAATGATGCATTAACTAATTTAATGTGTCATTAGGGTTTAATGTTGACATTAGTTAATGAAGCAATGATACAACCGTTTTGAATGATGCCATTAACTACTGACTAAGGATTTAATGTGTCATTAGGGTTTAATGTTGACATTAGTTAATAATGTGTCATGAGGGTTTAATGTTGACATTAGTTAATGAAGCAATGATACAACCGTTTTTAATGATGCCATTAACTAATTTAATGCATCATTAGGGTTTAATGTTGACATTAGTTAATGAAGCAATGATACAACCGTTTTTAATGATGCCATTAACTACTGATGCATTAAGGATTTAATGTGTCATTAGGGTTTAATGTTGACATTAGTTAATGAAGCAATGATAGAACCGTTTTTAATGACGCCATTAACTAATTTAATGCATCATTAGGGTTTAATGTTGACATTAGTTAATGAAGCAATGATACAACCGTTTTTAATGATGCCATTAACTACTGATGCATTAAGGATTTAATGTGTCATTAGGGTTTAATGTTGACATTAGTTAATGAAGCAATGATACAACCGTTTTTAATGATGCCATTAACTAATGATGCATTAAGGATTTAATGTGTCATTAGGGTTTAATGTTGACATTAGTAAATGAAGCAATGATACAACCGTTTTTAATGATGCCATTAACTAATTTATGCATCATTAGGGTTTAATGTTGACATTAGTTAATGAAGCAATGATACAACCGTTTTTAATGATGCCATTAACTACTGATGCATTAAGGATTTAATGTGTCATTAGGGTTTAATGTTGACATTAGTTAATGAAGCAAAGATACAACCGGATCCAGGTTACCTATATTTTAGAGAGTATATGTTGCGAACGTTGGCGTTTCATATTTGCATCTTTATCCGTATATTGGACATTGAACCTTATCCGTTGGCATTATTCTGCTACCAATTACAAACTTAACATGAAGTAAATGTATTCTGTTCATACCACTTAATTCACGTTATACCGAACTTACTTAAAGGTGCATATAGATAACGTTGAGTGGATTACCATTGAATATGGGAATATTGCGGGAATATTGCTAAAAGCGGCATAAAACTAAACTCACTCTCTCATTTAAGCACAGATTCAATCTATTGCAGTCAACATCTTAAGAAGTCACATTTATAAATCTATGCGGCTAATCTCTGCAGTAACCTGTGTTTAACGAAAGCAATTCTTCAACAAATATGACATAGTATCAAATATATATCTTTTATAACTAACTGAAATACTCTTTAAATGCAGAAGATTGTCCTTGGAAAACTTAAACTTCCAGTTCATATCAGTGTAGTTTTCAAATATTTTAGTTCCCAGTTCAAAATTGCCTCTGGTCACCCACCAGACAATGGGTACCCGGTGGGTCATGTGACTGTTAATCTTCCAGCTTAGGTTATCCGGGCTAATAATAACCACTGGTAAAGATTATTTACAGGCAGACATATAGCTGGAATATTGTTTAGTGCGGCTTTAAACAATAAAAGCAATTGTCAATATAAAGAAATAACTACGCTTGATCACCCGCCGAAGCAGAAGACATTGGTCGTGTGTGGACCGGACGGTCGGATAGCCTAGTGGTTAAAGCGTTCGCTCGTCACGACGAAGACCTGTGTTCAGTTCTCACCATTGGTACAATGTTTGAAGCCAATTTCTGGTGTCCCCTGCCGTCATAATTCTGGATACTGCTACAAGCGGCGTTAAACTAAACTCTCACTCACATGAATGGGCCACTGAATGTGGGTGATGACATCAGGTATTGGGAAAAAAGGTAAGCACATCCTACCTTACTGGTGGCACCCGACATTCACGCAGTTTGCGTATTTATTGTATGACGCCTAGCATCAGTACTATTTTGACAATTATGAAAGCACAAGGCAAACAGAATAGACACTGTGATCGATGGTACAGGTGTACAGGTCCACCGGCCCAGCAGATGTGCGTCTCGTTGGCATGTCATTAAAGCAGCATCCAATCTGATATCCGCCCTATATGTCTGGATTTGTCAGCACCATACCCTGGTCCATGAGTTACACAAAAGTGGTCAAAGACGTGCTGCACATCCAACTTTCAACCACACGAAGCTGACTCGCCATGATGCCACAACTTACTGTTCAAAGTGGGGTTTAACGCAACTCACTGATCATACTGTCACTGCTAGGGTACGCTGTCATGTGACAGCGGTTTTCTACCTTGAAGTACACATTAGTGATGTTTGTAACAACAAATAAGGGCGGCACGATTTTCAGGTTGACCGCATTTGGAGAACAATGGACATAATCTGTCATGATAAGCAAGCGGGTATCACTGAACTCGCAAATCAAAAATATAAGGACTAGTACCACGTGATAAATGTACTGGTGAGGTATTAGATGGTTGTTCGTCATTGTCTCTTACGGTTCGTTCTGAACATGTACAAATCGATACATAGATATCTTCAACCTCGTCAAGTCGGAATGAACTTATACTCTAACTGATTGTTTACCATAATGAAAGGGATGAATTTCGAAGTATGGCCAGCATATTATATCCCCAAATTGTTGACTTAGTGTTCTGTTATATTAATTAATGTCAATCAATTATTGTTGATGTTCACTTATATTAATCAATGTCAATCAATTATTGTTGGTGCTCACTATATTAATCAGTGTCAATCAATTATTGTCAAATTAAACTAAGTCAACATCGTGAGTTCATGTCACCTCTATTCAACGCCTATTCGTTAGACAGTTCAGAATTAAGTACAACTCCAAAAGTTAATCCCTTAAGACAACATGCACCGTCAGCCCCCAACATCAAAGGATTTTTACAAAAATAACAAATGTCTACTTTCAAGTAAGACACGGCGACGGCCATGATCTTAGTCTGTTTATTCAACAGCAGGCTGTCCTTCTATGACAGGAATAAAATATTAACAAAACACTAAGGAGCAATACACGATGACTGACAGAGATCCGTTAGGATTAATGTTACATACCACATTTAATGTTACCAAAAGCCACTGGTGTGTTTTCCGCGCCTAAAAACGGAAATGGATCACAGTTCTTGAGTAGATAATGGGTGTGTAACCTGTTTAAACACGTCTTATTTGTTCTGATACAATTCTACATCAGAATATGTTGGTGCTGTGAAATCAATGAGAGTATATGAAAATGAAGGTGTTTCTACCGACTCTACTCACACATTGAGAATGGTTTAATCCAACAATATAATAATAATAATAATAATAAAAAATATAATAATAGTGCATATTTATAACGCGTACATATCCACGCTCAGAAGCATGCTCTTGGCGCTCCATAAGAATCTTAAAATAAATACAATGAATAGGTACATAATACATAAACAATAAAGGCTATTGAGGATAATATTTAGCAAAGAGGTAGGTTTTGAGATTTGATTTAAAAGAGTCTAGAGATTCAGAGCGTTTGAGGTCAAAGGGGATAGAGTTCCACAAGACAGGGGAAGTGTAGGAGAAAGTTCTGTATCCAAAGGTTTTAAGTTTGTAGTTCGGCACTGTCAGAAGGTTTTGCTGCTGTGAGCGAAGTTCGCGCGATGGACTGTAGGGGTTGATCAGATCTGCAATGTATGGTGGAGCCTGGCCGTGAAGGGACTTGTATGTGAGGCAGAGTGTCTTGAATTGAATCCTGGCTCTCACAGGTAACCAGTGCAGCTGCTTTAGAACTGGGGTAATGTGACTGTGTTCGGAAGTATGGCTGACGATGCGGGAGGCTGTATTTTGGACTTTTTGTAGTCTGTCAAGTAGAGTGTCAGGGAGGCCAATATAGAGACTGTTACAATAATCTAGTCTGCTGAGAATTAGAGCACGGACAAGGGAATGAGCAGATTCTGTGGTAATTAGAGGACATATACTGCCAATCACTCTAAGATGAGGGTAGCATGTTCTGCACAGGTTATTTATCTGGGCTTCCATGGACAGACTGGGATCTAAGAGTATTCCCAGATCCTTGACTGAGTATGATAGTGCAATATCTGAGCTTGAAACCGCAATAGATGCAACATCTGACTTCTTGAGTTGCTGTTTTGTTCCAACAAAGAGAGCCACTGTTTTTTCCTCGTTAAGTTTTAGTTTATTTGCAGTCATCCATGTCTTCAGAATACCTATACAGTCTGAGAGTTTGGCCAGTGCTTCTCCAGAACTCTCCGGATGAAAAGAGGTGTAAAGTTGTGCATCATCTGCATAAGAATGATGCTGTAGACAGTGTTTGGAAATGATGTTAGATATACTGCCAGTGTAGAGGACAAACAACACATGACCCAGTACAGAACCTTGTGGCACACCATGCTCAAGTGTTATGTTACTTGATCTGGCATCGTTGATCAGTACGAACTGTGTTCTGTCTTGAAGGTACGAGGAGATCCAACGTAAGGCTGAGTCCTTGATACCATAGTGCTATTGAAGTCTCACCAGGAGGAGACCATGGTCTATGGTGTCGAAAGCGGAGGAGAGGTCAAGTAACAGCAACGCTGCTACATTACCTACGTCTACTGCTTATCGAAGAGCAGCTGTTCCTGGCACTGTCGATCAACACACTTCAATATGGTGTCTGTCATCATTGGACTTAACTGTTGTCTCGCCTGTGTTGAAGGAAGCAGCATGGAAGCATCATTACATCAGCATATTTTCAAACCCTATAACAAATATGTCCTGCCTGGGGGAGTAGGCGAACCTGTAAATGTATCTGTGAACGTGTGGTTGTCCTCCCTTCTTGGTTTGGATGAAAAGAATCAGATGCTGTCAATAGCGATGTATTTCATTGTTAAGTGGGTGGATGAATCCCTGTCGTGGAATGAAACCGAATTCCCAGGTATTCATGAGACTTTTGTTCCAGACAGTCATATATGAATTCCCCAAATCGCCTTGCCGTCTGGTTTAAGTACATCAGATTCCTGACCGCTGAGAATTACTTTGCTAACATCAAATCAAATGGGACGGTGACATGGATTCCGGACTGGAAATAAAGTGCCCAATAGATACAACAAGATTCCCATTTGACAGTCAAGCATGTCCTATTGACGTTGCGATATGGGTATTCGAAAGGAACCATGCACAAATTGTTGAGTCGAAAGTTCATGTAAGACCTCCAGTAGAACAAAATGGACAATGGGAGTTTATTTCCGTAGAATATAACCTCGTGACACGCTCCAATGGTCAGAAAGATATTTATATCACTCTGAACATCATCCGACGACGAGAGTATTACTTTATCAGCTTCATATTACCTACTGTTGTAACTTCCTGTTTGAACCCCTTTGTGTTCCTGTTGCCAGCTGAGTGTGGGGAGAAGGTGGGGTTGGCCACGACCCTGATGCTTTTCTACTACGTCATGCTGAGCCACATCTTTGATAACATCCCGGCTAATTCCCTCACTATGCACGTATTTAGGATTTTCATTGGAGGACAGCTCGTATTGTCAGGTCTATCAGTTGTCTGTACTGTGGTTCTTCTGAAGCTGAGCCGAAACAACCGAGATGTGACAGAACCAAAGATTAACTGCATGTGGAAACGAATTGAAAGTATTTTGTTTTGGGCGTTTGCAATAACTGGAATTGTGGTATGTGGAACAGTGATAATTCTAATACAAACGTGACGACTAAGTTCTAACTAAATGTATACACGTGAATGAGATGAGATGTAGGTCCGATAATGAATAGAAACGTTATTTTGCTTTGTAAATAACATATGGAAAAGTGACCTTGCACATTCTGTGAAATAATTCCATGAAATACGACACTCCATGTGCGTCTGATATCTGTAGTTGTGTCAGGCCAGTTTG